GTAAGCAAATGTATGTGTGCGTGGTGATGTAAGTGAGAGAGGCATGAGAGGGATGAAGGATGGAAGAGGGAGAGAAACGCGAACACGCGTTGAAACACGTTAAGGCGCCAACGAGAATGTGAAAATCGAGAGACTGACTTGGTCTTGTTCCTCTGGGAAAATTATACGCGGCACTACTAGAAAGCAAAGTGTCCTTAAGGTTCGCGCCGAGAAACTAGTTTCCGTTTGCCCGATCACGGTCCAGCGCGATTGCAAGATCGCTGAAGACTGCATGGACAATCATGGATAATCGTTGACAATCATCCAGAACGAGACAACAAATGTCGAGTATGACCTTTACGCACCGATATTCTAGTTGCTGGCCGCGGCAATGCCTGCATTCTTGCGAGTTAATTTTGATAATTATCTGGCGGAATTGTGAGAGAAGAGAGACGTTCGTAACGGTCCTAATGTCCTAATCGGCGAGTCTCGTGACTTCGTGCTTTCCAAGTACCTAGCAACACACGACACTAGTATCGTACGTACAAACGAGAAGAAAATGACAATCATGTCCGATTGCGGAGCTGCGCACGAAAGTATTGAAAATTTTTTCCAAATGTAGAACATAGTGGTGGAAATTTCGTTCATACCTGTTGTATGTAATGTCGATCACTGTAATATTGACTGTGTTCTCCTCTTCCTTCGTCGAAGATTTTACTTCGTTCGTTTCCTTTTCCTTCCTTTTACCCGATGTCTGTCTTACTCTCCCATTTTGACGATGGCAATCGACGTTGATTTTATATCACGACGGCTAAAAATTAAAGATTTCTTAAAGAGTTGTCTCGATGCAGGCAAGAAAGGGGAGAAAGACATCCGGCGATTGAAACATTGCTACTCAAGTACTTGACGCTAGAATTACCGACGTCTAAAGCATAATATTCGCAGCAAAGGAATTAAAGAACAAGATACAAGTTGACACTTTGTCCTCGGAAACATTTTTCGTATCAATCGTCTACCAGCACTTTATTTACGAAATACATTAAGTAGTCCCCACTTAAGCGTCCGTCGCTGTCCTCGCCAATTCTTGTAATTGTAACTATCTTCATTCTACCATTTGCACGCGCAAAATAAGTGATATACAGAGTGATTTGACTTGTAACTTGCACATCTAACAAATAACTTTTAAATGATTTAATTTTTATAACGTATTATGATTGTTCGTTATGATTATCAGCAATTATAAAAAAAATTTTATAATTTTAGCTGTTAGCTAAATTTGAGTGCAAATGGTCAATAATAATGCAATAAAGAGAGCACGAGCTTCTGTTGATATAATTTATTAAAAAAAAAAAAAGTCACTCGAATATCTTAAGATACACTGCATAAACGTATAAAATTTCCAATTATAGAAAATTAGAAATTAGTCGTTTTGATCATTTTGACAGTTCTAGTGTTGAATACTTGAATACTCGCTTATTAGATTCGCGATCAATTGGCAGTCGATAGAGAAGAAAGTCGCATGGTACATACATGCATATACACGTGTATCGAAGATTGGCTGCATCAAGACTCAGCCAGCGTGTTTGCGACGCTATTAACGCGTATCCATTTTAACGCGAGAGTAATTCACGCTTACGATTTCGCAGCACGTTCCTATCTCCGATCTGCGTCACAGTGTTCTGCAATTTTCTATGTGTCAATGCGAGTATTTACGCAACGAGCAACGTGCTCAATTAGATTTCCCATCGAGAGTAGGTGTCGATCGTTCTCCGTGATATGTCTTTCGCGCACAGACGACTTCCTTTCCCCTTACTACATAATTCTAGTCTGTTCTTCGATTTGTCGTCTCTCATTGTCAAGTATGTAGCTATATTTCGTGTATCTCTTTCGAAGAATGTACTGTAATAAAATCGATGCTACTCGATGGCTTTTTTACTCTTTTTCACCTGTACTCGTCGTTTCGAGTGTCAAATAAATAAATAAAAGATATCTCTTTCTCTCTCTCTCTTCGGCCAGGACGGAGATGATTCCGACTAGTGTCGAGTTCTCGCGACGTTCGTCGTTCATAGAATATATGAGATCTATACTTTTAACTTCAATGTCCGCAAGTGGATTATTTTCCACAGAAAATGTTTTAGTATCGTGTAGTGAGTGAGAAAGTAAAGATAATGCTCCTTCTGGAAGAAGAATTCCAAGGCCTCGTCGAATTTTCATTATTTTCAGACATACTCAAAGCTCAACAAGTTGGCGAGGAGAAGTTGTGCAGTAGATTTTAGGGAGTCATCGTAAAGGTGAAGTTTCAATCTTCAAATTCATTGATTCATAGATTCATAGATTCAGTCTTGAAAAAAAAAGATTTTTCAACGTTTTGGGAGATGTAATATTGATACTAAAAAAAAAATAAATATCAAAACAAAAATACTCCCTCCATTCCAAAATAAGTATCCCATTTACACGTTATATTTGTTCAGAAACGAATGTTCACCTTTCAGAGTGTAATTTTTGATTTGTTATGTCTCTGAGGAGTGTTTGCCATTATTTTTGAAAGTTAATAATAAAAAGTAACAGCGGGTAATTCGTAAACCACACTTTTTAAAACTTTTTGACACTTCTCGCTAAATAACCTAAACCTTCAGCTGGATTAAACATTTGTAGGTTAAAGTATAACCTTCTCGGCAGTCTCTATTCGTATTTGCACAGCATTTAACAATTGATTCTTTTTTAATCTTAATACAATGAAAATACATAATGTAAATAGTTATTTTGAAGGGAGTATTATTTATGTTGAAATTTCATATGCCTGTTCAGTTTTGCTGCTCATCGCTGTACGATAGGTAGTCACGTTTAACCTCTTAACAGGGGAATTAACTTTGGTTCACATAAAAATAACTTGTTTCGCAATGGGGATTTTTTCCTTCGCAGCGAAAAGTTACATTATTACGCCTAAAATAATAAAAGAAAAAAAAATCGTTTTCACTTGTTCACTATTTATTTTGACAAAATATTTTATGACATATTATATAGCAAATATATAAATTTAGATTTAAATGAAATATTATCACACGTTACTTTTAAAATTTTCGTGACATCATGTCCAGTGCAGTTATCTTCCTGGTACGACGAAATATTTCCCAGTTAAGAGGTTAAATACAACAGAAGCCCCGCTACTGGCCACAGTAAGAATGAACGAAAGGTGAAATGCTGAACACGTGGCACCACACGCTACGACCAAAGTTTACGTACGAAAGTTAAGGAACGACGCGACGTGATCTCGTGTTTGTTAACTGGATAAAACGAACATCGTATCGACTATTAACAAAGAGAACAACAACGAGACAACGACAACGGACTCGAATTATACAGAAGGATGAAACAATCGACAGGCTACGCAAAATCTTGCATGTCGAACGTGCCAAATGGAACGTGTAGGTTATGTCTTCGCGTTGGCGACCGTTTAGTGCCGATATTCGCCGAGGAAGAAACATCGAAACAGCTGCTTTCTCGCATTCGAGATTGCTGTCCCATTACGGTAAGTAGCATATCTACTATGTAAAGTGTTCCACTTTAACCTATAAATGCAATTATCTCGAAACTATTCGTCGACTTAGAAACTGCCTCTCAAGTGCATTTTTTTTCTGTTTTGAGAGAACAGTAATTTGGTACACTTGCATTTAATTTGCTTCTAGAATAGACGCATGTAGAAGATACGAAATAGTCGCTACTATTTTCAAGTATAATTGTGTAATTTTTTTTCGCATCAATCGACGCAGTAGGTCCGTCCTCTGCAAAAATGTATTAACCTAAAATCTGTGTTCTGATTTCATAAAATTAAAGTTAAAGTATCTCCTAACTAGCAGCTTTCGATATACGTGGGTTGATACATTTTTACGGAAGATGATCTGCTGCGTCGATCGACGAAAAAAAATTACATAATTATACTTGAAAGAATAGTAGTGATCTTCGTATCTTCTACACGCGTCTATACAGAGACAACCAAGAGTGTACCAAATTAAAAGAGGAAAAAAATGCATTTGAGACGTTTTTTTAAATGACGAGTAGTTTCAGAGATGATTGTATTTTTGGGATACGCTGTATATCTCTTTTTATATTACGATATTTTTTCTTACTATTTTTCACCGACATCGACGTTTTATCCTCATTCATCGCCGTTTTACGCGTGTGAGTACAATGCGTTTACACACATTTTACACAGGTTATTTCTCTACAGTAGTGTGCAACAGTTTTCACATTTTTCCATATTTTCTCTCTAAAGGAAATCCCGAAAATAAACTTTCGCCAATACTGTTTATTTATTAATAGCGTGTAAAAGAAGAATGCCATTTGTTTTTGCATATACGTATATTTGAGGAATTACTGAATTTATAAGCTCAAAAATTCTCGGCCAGTTAGTTAAAAAAAAAAAAAAAAAAATAATGTGGCCATTACGTAGCCATGCCTTTTCGATTCAGTTAATCGCATAACACAATCGTGTGTGGCATTTTGTTCCATTTCTCGGTTAAAATTTGGAAATTTTATTAACACGTTTCGTGCCAGGTGTACCACCGATGGTACACGTTAAACTTTCCATTCAGGTCGCGTGTTATTACTTTGCTAATTATTTATGGATTGATGATGTAATGATCATTCTTCTGTCAAAGCCCATTCTAATCTTTAGTCAAAACGTCAAATGGCCTGAATGAAAAGTCGAGCAAAAACTCGCATTGGATGTGAAAATATGAAGAAAAACAATTGGTCGGAAATTTTTGCACGCTACTGTATACACATGCACATGCCTGGAATCGACTAGCTGCTCGAAAACGACGACCTACCGAAGACGATCTGTCGCGAGTGCGAAGGAAAGATAGCAGTGACGTTCGAGTTTCGCGAACTATGCAGGAAAACGGAACGGATCTTGAAATTACAATACGATTTGCGCCGCGCGAGCGAATCCAACTGGAGAATCGCGTCGGTAAGTTAGATTGTAATAATACCAATCGATGTTACCAGGGGTACCCACAAGTTGTGCCGTTTGTTTTCTGTTCAGATGTAAATTTAGTAATTTCTTTTCTTTTCTCTTTTTTGTTTAAAGCGGCATTTACTCAGCTACATAGTCGCCGAGGATTGACCATCTCCCATCTGGTCATCAACTTTTCTATCCTTTTATACACGAGAAAAAGAAAATTAATAACAATTATTAACAATACCCCTTGGATCGTAGTATTATTAACACCAGACCTACCGAAGTAGATTAAAGTATAGTATTCGTAGCAAAGAAATTAAAATGCGAGGTAAAAGGAAAAGTAACGAAAGCAATAGAACAGAAGCTTGTATCGATATATTTTATGAAAAATTACCATGCGACCACTTTGTGTCTAGTTGTACAATGTTAAAATATAATCATATGTAGAAATAAATAAAGAAAACACATTATAAGACGAGATTAAATATTTATTTAAATAAATGTAATTAAATTAATAAACAAGAAAAGAAATTAATTATTGTTATTATTGAAAAGTTAGCATTGAAAGATTCTGGGATTTTGAAGTTAAAAAAATTCGACCACTGCGTTGCTTTCTTCTGTTCAAAAGAATTGAACTTTTCCCCACAAAGGCAACAAAGTGCTGCGGGAATCTGAAAAGATGGTAATTAGACGGGGCAAGATCAGGTAAGTATGAAGAATGGGAGAGAACTTTCCAAGTCTGCTAATTTTTTGTTGCCTGATCCCCTCGCAGCATGTTGAAGCACAAAACACCTTTCCTGTTCGATGGAAACAGAATGTTTTTCTGCTTGATGAATGATGGCTGCTTTCAATCTGTCAAGCTAACCACATAATAAACGTTTGCAGTAACGGTTTCTCCAGCATTAAGCAGCTCAGAGTGCACCACATCATGAATATTCTATCAAACACACAAGACTTCCATGGATATTGTAATTTTTCTTGGTTGTTCTCCAGTGGAAAGAAGCCATTTCATTGGGTTTAGGTTTAGATTAGGTTTAGAGAATCATAATAAAAAAAAAAAAAAAAAAAAAAAAAAAAAAAAAAAAAAAAGGGTT